CTGTGGCCAATACAAGCACATACATCCTATAACACTGAGATATATATATTTATGTGTGTGTGTTCTGCATTCATCTGTGGGTGTTTAGTTTGTGTTTGTGTGGGGGAGAGAGAGAGAGAGAGGGAGAAGGAGAGAGTGTAAATGGTTCTGAAAATTATACACATGAAATGAAAGCTTTCATTGGCCATGTTCATACTAATTCTACTTTAAACTAGAATTCTAGTTTAGAAATTCTAGTATAGTGAGGTTAGTTTAAAGTAGATCAATTTTGGTAACATTTTTCACACCCATGTTCGTCTTTCAACGTTAACCTTGATTTGCAATTTTAAAGACCAATTGACATTTTATTCATCTGAACATAAGCCACACCAATCAGAGTAAACTAAGAAAGAATCAAAGATTATCACATGTTCAAAATTATATTAAAACTCTAAGACACCATTCACACTGACCACAGATGTTCCAGTGTAAGCTTACAAATTTCCTGAGATTGTTCAAACATGAAGTATGCAAAACTATTTATATAAAAGGTTAAACAAAATTGTACATAACATTTATCTAGGCTACCATAACATCTACAAGCAATGGTTTACTTCGATACAAGATTGCAAAAATGAATCTGAATCTCTACTTAGTATTTCAACTGTAAGCTGTTTCACTTTAATTTTCACAATATAAGGTGTAACAATTTTAACAATCCTTTTCTGCTTGAAGCAGAATGTGGATCTTCTTCTGGCATCTGTATTAAAAGAATTGATCTTTTGTGGGTCTGCTTCTAACTGATGAAGTCTGCAGCTTAATTGTTCCTGATCCTTTGAAGGAAGGAGTTGTAAAGTGACAGAGATTTTCTATGTTGCCTGATCCTCAAGAACAGAATCCAAACTCATATGAACCCCTGCCAGCTTCTCTTCTAAAATTGTCTTTGGCACCACAGTTATGCAACATTGCCAGCATCAGTCTCCTCCTCAGATTACCAACTTCCCTCAGAACCAAACCAGCTCTGAACGTGAGGCATTTTAACCCTGTAAATAATGGATGGGCAGAATGGTGTGGGATGGGCAGAATGACCCAAACAATATTATGCTGTCATAATATAAGTTTTACCCTTCTGTATCTGTGCCTTAACCTTCCGTTCATGGACAAAAGTGGCAAGACTGTGACCAAAGCATCAAAATCCTATTGAGAGCCATTGGCGATGGTGCAGTTTTCTTACCCTAAGCTGGGAAACGTAATTTTGCATAAAAATATCCTGGATCCAAGTCTTAATTTCAAGGTTGACATTTGCACTATGCTGATGCACAAAATAAATGTTAGAGAACCCCATTTTCAGTATCAATAGCATCCCATGCTAATGCCAGGTGTCATCTTTACAGAAGCTTAGTTGCTCCTGTAAGCATATCTTAGGAAGACAATTTGGCATATCTTTAAGTCTTAGCCAGTAATTAAAGACTAGTTGGAAAAGGCCCTAGAACCTTTTCCAAATAGCTCCTGGTTTTCATTCTTAGTAAACAAATAGGCACGTTTTTAGGCTCTCTGAGAATTAATCTCAGAAAATAATTCCAAATGCCACTGAAGCTACTGTCATATGCAATACTTTGGATAGAAGCATTAAATTGAGCATTAAGGAGGAGTCCCCTTGCCTGACTTCCCCTAGACGTATACCAAAACGTTATTAATCCATTTATTTTCTGCTCAGCCTTTAACTGCCTCTAAATGCAGTTGCCATGAGCCTGAGGCTGTGTAGGAATACCTATATTGCTTGGCTTTGTTTTATGACATTCTAATTTATACAAGCAGTTTTAAATTAAAATCATTTGAATACATTAGAATTATGCAAGTGAGTAATCACTTTCTCCTTCTTCTGGGACAGATAATCATCTCTAGTTTAATGAAAACAGATCAAACTACAAAAAAAAAGGCCAACTAAATATACCATAACTCACAGGCCTATGTTTATTAATGCAAGGCAAGTCCCACTATGATCTCCCACTATGATGAAAATTCTATATGGGGATTTAAAAAAATATATTGAAATATCATTTTGCCACCATTACTTTAGTTTACTAAACATCTAGACTCACACACTATTTCCCTTCCCCCAAATTCTTCTGCTTGACCTTTGTCACATTGCTACCAATGCACATTCAAAAAGAAGAGCGTCTGCTGTAAGTGGGTTGACTTTTAAAGGATTGTGCCGGAGGTGGCATTCAGCAGGTTCTGACCATTTCTGGAGAACTGGTAGCAGAAATTTTGAGTAGTTCAGAGAACTGGCAAATACCCACTCTGACTGGCTTTGCTCCCATCCATTCTCTGCCTTTCAAGTCCCAGCTGATCATCTGGGTCTTCTTTTGTTGCCCTGCACAGGAGAACAGAGCTGGAAAGCAGGTTAGTGGGGTGGGGAGGGAATGGGATTTTGCAGTAACCTTCCCCCAGGAGTGGGGATGGAATGGGGATTTTGCAGTATCCTTCCCCTGCCATGCCCACCAAGCCATGTCAACCAAGCCACGCCACGCCCACCAAGCCACACCCACAGAACCGGTAGTAAAATATTTTGAAACCCACCATTGGATTGTACTATGCAAAGTTCCAAAGAAATGCTTGACTTTGGTGGTCTGTGTGGAGTACCTGTTTGAAACATATTGATGTACTAAGTTTCCTGAAGTGAAGAGCATTGCTTTGAGAAGTTATCTACTTGATGAGGTTTTAGAAGAACGTAAAGTGCCTGGTCTATGGTTTGCACAGCCTCCTCAGCTCAGTGAGATGAACTTTATCACACCTGCCATTTTGCAAAGGAAGACACCTTTGTGGAGCAAAATGTTGCCCTGAGATAAAGCATAACCTTGTACAGTCTTCTGCAGTATTAGTGTTCGGATGTTAGCAAGAATATAGAGAAATCTATAAAAACAACAGCAAACTGTAAATAAGGAAAGGGCGCAAGCTAATTTGGTACTGGCTGCAGAAGTAATATCATTGTTTTACTAATCCAGCATTTAGGCAAATATATATATTGATTTATTAAGGCTTAAAACATGTCAGTTAAAGATTGCTTTGTTGATATTTGCTCTGTATTTTTAATTATATTAGCAAAGTATTTTTAATATATTATCTAATTGCTATTTGAAGACAGATTTTGGGATAGATCTATTCGGGTTTTTAAAATCAAACTTACAAAGTTTTGTGTTTTCTTTCTCTTTCTTTTCTTACGTTTATCAATCCTTCAAACTGATGTAGGTTTTATTTTAAAAAAACTTTAAGCAAAACATCTATCATCTTAAACTGGCATATTTGCAATGCAATGTTTTTAATAATCTCTCTCTCTCTCTCTCTCTCTCTCTCTCTCTCTCTCTCTCTCTCTGTGTGTGTGTGTGTGTGTGTGTGTGTGTGTGTGTGTACACATATTAAAAATTAACACCTTGGCACAAATTAAAACATATTTCTTTTTTTCCTAATTTGTTTTACTCCACACAATCCTGTTCAAGACTGAGATAATCCAGGAAGGGCCATATTGTTAATAGCCATAATTAAGCACTAATTTGCATAGTTTGAGCAAGCCTGTGGCAACCAATTTGCTGTCTTCCTGTAAGCTTGGAATGAATTGGACATGCAAGAAATTATTTGCATGTTGCCCACTGCTGCCCACTACACATTAAATAGAATTTTGAAGCTCATAAGTGCAGCCACTACAGCTTTGGGAGCAGCTGCAATCAAATGTTAAAAGTTAATCTGAGCTCAGTTTAGCAAATGGCAGACAGCAGCAGGTGGCCCTGGCAGAAATGGGTCAGCCGATGGCAATCCAGGTGAAAAGACTAAAAAATCCAGCATTTGCAGACTCAAATGATACTGCCAGCTTTCATTTCTTCCATTTTTCTTTGTGCTATTAAACCAGTGCTTAAAAGGTCCTACCATGGTTTAGTGCAATTTCTGATCAATGCAATAGCTCTAATGTTCAGAGTGTAATATGATAAAGATAATAAGAAAAGGGAAAAAAGAAAAAGAAACATATAAAGAAAGAACAAATCTTATAAAGATTTTAAACATTCATATTAAATACGCCTATTCTAAAAGGTCTGTCTTTGTACAGACAAAGGTAATATATTCAGAATACTTTATTAATGTACCTTAAAAAAACCCAGCAATGTTAACAAAGACATCTTCATTTGAAGTGTTCATCAAGACTTAGCCAAGATATTAATTTTTCAATCAATGACATTTTTTACTCTTTAATTCTTCAGTATTTTGCTATCTGATTAGCCTCTATGGGAAGAAACTGCTAAACTAATAACAGAGTATCAGAATAACAGAGTTGGAAGAGACCTTCTTCTGGTTCAACCTTCTGCTCAAGAAGGAAACCCTATACCACACCAGATAAATTGTTGTTCAATTTTTTCTTTAAAAACTCCAGTGTTGGAGCATCCACAACTTCTGGACGCAAGCTTTTTTCATTGATTAATTGTTCTGTCAGGAAATATCTCCTCAGTTCTAGGTTGCTTTTCTCTTTCCATCCATTGTTTCTTGTCCTGCCTTTGGGTGCTTTGGTAAATGTGTTGACCCTCTCTTCTTTGTATCAGCCCCTTAGATACTGGAATACTGCTATCATGTCACCCCTAGTCCTTCTTTTCATTAAACTAGACATACCCAGTTCCTGAAACTGTTCTTCATATATTTTAGATATGGTTCTTTACCATATCTGACTGAGAAGGATATAGGCATTTTCTTCAAGGCACCTTAAAGCTTTCATCTGCTTTTAGTTGTCTGATTATTATTTTAATCATGGGTTATAAATCCAGGGGTATTTATGAGAGAGCTGATGAAACAACCACCAAACACATTAGTCTTCCAGAGCAGATCTAAGATGTATGATATAGTCATGGGAAAGTTGGCATTGTGCAGTGTATACTTTATCCTCCATGTCACTGTGTATGTTTCCCAAGGTTTGGGTCAGTTTTTTATGTTCTTCCATATAAAACATTTGGGTGATAAAAATAAATGAAACTAATTACCTTTGAGTGGTAGTTTCTTTTCTATTTTCTCTTCCCTTTCCCTTCCCTTGTCTCTCTGAATTTCTACACGGAAAGAAGAAAACCAGCTAATTAAGAGGAAAAGGAAACTGTTGTGATTTGAACACTGTGAAGGAAGTCCAGTGCAAATACATCAAAGTTGACAAATCCACAACTGAAATATACATAAGACATCATTCTTGATATGTCCTATTTTAACTATCCACAATTTGGGGGTGGGTGGGTAGGAATGAATAAGTTTTCTATATGCTGTTGTGAATTATTTTCCAATAAAATGCATGTTGAACAGGCATGTGATTCTGCTGATAACTTAGGCAACAAAAATGCATGTTCTGGTAGAATTGGTTTCAAGACTTACATTTTATGCTTGCTGATATCAACAATGAGCTCAAGGACATATAACCCCTTTGCATGTGTTTGTGGAAGAGAGTGCTAAACCAGATGTGCCAACGCACAGAATATATACATACTCAAATAGATATAATATTACCTTTTGGTGATGGCTTCTTTTCTACTTTCTCTATTTTTTCAGCCTTGTCTATCTGGATTTCTGGAACAGAGAAAACATTACAGAGGCATAATAACTAGAATATTATGTTTGAAGTACAGAGATACTCCTTATACTTTGCTCTTGGTAGGATTTCTGCTTTCAAAATGTATTCCATCAAAAAAAAAATCACTTAAGGTAAAACCTCAACATTCAGTTCAGAATTAGCTTTCAGAGAAATGTAATGGAACTGCTCTGAGCCATTTTCCTAGTGATAGTGATACATTTTGCTATTTCTCTCAGTGCCTGAAAATATACCCAAGATGTGAAGAAAAATTTCCTTGGGTAAGGTGCTCTGCGTCTAATCAGATTGCAACAGAATGGATTTTACCATTCCAGTTCAATCAGATTCCAAGTTTGGTTTTAGACATATCCTTCATGATAATTTTTGATGGGAGAAACTGGCACATATAGAGACTGTCATGTGTAATTCTAATTATAGATATTAGATTTCTACATTGCACTATCTTTCCTATACATTGCCCTACAGATTGTTGGTGACAAAATTTGGAAAATAATAAGTACAATACGCTGTGGTTTCTCTGGTGGTTCAGGCAGTATGAAATGAGCAAGTTTGCTTTAAAAAGTGAGTCAGTTGAATTTTTCTTAAGAGCTGGAATGGTTTGCCTCTTAGAGCACCAACAAGATGTTAAGATTTTGGAGGACAGAATAGAATAACAGAGTTGGAAGGGTCCTTGGAGGTCTTCTAGTCCGACCCCCTCCCTAGGCAGGAAACCCTACAACACTTCAGACAAATGGTTATCCAACATCTTTTTAAAAACTTCCAGTGTTGGAGCATTCACAACTTCTGGAGGCAAGTTGTTCTACTGATTAATTGTTCTTGACTGACTTGGTAGCATGTTGATCAACTATTCCCACTAAACACATATTATGTATGTTCACTGACTTATTTATAAAAACAATAAAAGCAGGATATAAATAAATAGATAGCTGCATAAATAAATAAGTTTACTCTTTCAAAAAAGCACTGCTCAAAATTAGTGCTATTGGGTTTTCAGTCAGCAGCCAAAAA